GATGATTAATGTTACTAAGTCTCGAAATCATATCATTTTGTATGTAGCGATAAAGATATCGTTTTCTTATTCGAATGAAAAAACGGAGAAAAAATTTAATTAAACTTTTTTTTTTGTGAATAAACAGAAATTTTTACAAAAATCTATACCCCTTTACTTACCTTTGTTCTGCCATTGATCGTATAGCTTCCCATCTTGCCATTATTGTGCATTTTGTTTGCCCTCATGATAATAGCATCAACTTGAGATATTAGCATGCCTATATTTTGACATGGCTTTTCTTTTCCATCCAGCCATGTTATCTGATCACCTCGAATTGTTTTTAAATCATTTGCACTAGCCTTATTGGAAACCAATTGTCCATCCTTAAATAATCCAGCACTATACATATTTAAAACTTCTTTTAGCACCGCGAGGCCCTTATCAGCACCCAAAAAATTGTCTACCACGCACACACCATATTCATTCATGTCTCTGATCACATTTCTACAAATTTCGCCTATCAGTTCCTCTAAATTGTTCTTATTTCTATGCAAAAAGGGGGGTAAAAGGTCTTCCTCACGAAGTTGAACATCTGGGAAATTTTTTATGCCATTATGATGAGTCGGCATATCTAATTCTGAATCTTGCAAACTACCAAGAATTGTAGAACTTTCTAAGGCAGGATTCAATAATTCCGCTCTAGCTCCCAAAATCGTATCTTCTGAACTACCTTCGTAAGTTATAGGAGAAGTCCAACCATCAGCTTTTACAATCAAGTTGCTCTTCGATTTATCCCCGTTTTGTTTTTTCTTAAAATTTTGATCTTCGTATTTTGGATAGACTAAGTTCTCAGATCGATTATTAGAATCTGTAAATAAAGAAAATGTTTATATTAGAAAAGAGGAAATCCTTCAAAAATAAATAACGTTATCATGAAAAGCAAAGTAAAACAAGTTTAACATTGAGATCTCTCAAAGTACATACAAAACGATACAAAAAAAAAAAAAAGAAAAAAAGCAAAAAAAAAAAAGCAAAATAAGGAGAAAAAACAAAATAGTAATAAATCGATCGAGATTCAAATACGATTAAAAATTACTGTTGTATTTACTTTAGTTATTAGGATTATCTCCGATCCGTTAAAATCGGATTAATATTGTATTATAAGATTAATTTAGAAATGAAAAACTGGAATAAGAAAAGAGAAAGGAAGATGAGTGAGATCATACCTCGAATCAGTTTCAAAGGATAAGAACGTGAAAAATCCTTGTCGTCGCACTTTTCTCGTACAGCACGATCACCTACTAGCTCAGCGAAGACTTTGCTGGTTAGTTGAGTTTGGTCGGTTAGGTTAGGAAACGGTCGTGTGTTCTTCGTGCAACGTTTTCTCGAAGAAGAATGATCGGCCGTCACAGCAGAAGTATGACTCTCATCTGTATCATTTGTGGAAAGTACAACGAGCGAAGAATCATTTGGCCATGTTGCACGGATTCCACAAAATTCTTTGTGACGTTTCCAATCACGCCTTTGATGTTCCTTCGTGCAATAGAAAACTGATTTGCATCTGGAACACCTTGACAGCTTGTCGGTCTTTTCGCAAAGGACGCAACGTATCGTTTGCATCGAAGATCTAAAATCAACGCCGTCGGCTGTCTGCGAACGACTGACCATCGGACCGGACATGTTTCACCGTTTATTTCGTTGCTACAAGTGCCGCTACTATCGACGACATTTCTTCGCTGTGAGAAGTCACACACGCACCCGTCTCTCCTTCTCCTTCTCCGCGTGAGGAATAACGCGCGCGCTATCGGAATACCGCAGTACTGGCGTACATCTACTACCTTAGTGAGAAGGAGAAATGAAGAAAGAAAGAAAAGGAAAGAGAAAGGGAGGAAGAAAAAGAAAGAAAAAAAAAAAAGAAAAGAAAGAGAATAGAGCAGAAACAGATAGATATATTCGAGAACGGCGGAAGGGGCGTCAGGGAGAGGTGAGGTGGAAAAAAGAGAAAGAAGGAGACAGACAAGGACGCGACTACACTAAACCAATGCACTGACACACGTTTACTTTTTTTTATCCACACATATAAATCTGTGTGTGGTTGTGTAAACAAATTCGCGACACTCCCAAGCGAACGAGCGAGTTGGATCGAAAACCAATAATATTTTTCTCCGACGATCATTGAAGAACAAAGAACAGCGTCCTTCGTACGAACCTTTTCGAGACTCTCTTACGAGCGTATATACGCTCCACGTTTCTCCAAATACTGTCGCTCGGAAATTCCTCGCAAAAATTCGGACGCATTTCGCTCGCTCGCCGCTCACTCAGCTCCGCACTCTTTATCTTTGTAATCTGCCGTAAGGGCGCGCCACTTGGCGCTACTTACTTTGCGAATCAGAACGCGTTTTTCTACTTTTCCATTTCTCTTCCTCGATGTCAATTTTTAACGATATTTTAATTTATATTTGTTTTTATTATATCATTTTACGTAAAAAATCATTGTTAAGTTTTGTATTTAATATATTATTATAAATATTGTTATACGAATGTTTTGGAAACTATATATGTCGATTGATTCGTCCTTTTTTAGATCCATTTTGATTTAACGGAAAATAACTTTAAACAGAAAATTTCTTTTGGTATGATTCATCCAATTTATTGATTATTAATAAATACGTACTTACGTCGGTCAATAATAGCTTAGTAATCAATTTCAGATTAGTAGAAAAAGGTTCTATTCACCTTATATTATTCTATTTGTATATATGTATAAAAAAAAAAATGCTTATTTATTAGAAAAATTTATATATCTATTTTGATACAAAGTATCCGCAGATATGCCCATGAATAAGAGATTATTTTGGCTCTTTGTTAAAGTATCCGATAAAAAAAACAATATTTACTTAATATGAGAAGAACTACATGAATATATTCGGCTTTGAAAGTTTTACCAGGTTCATTATTTTCATATATTGAGAAATATTGTTTTTAATCGGTTTTCTTATGTTTCAAATAATGATATATGAATATTTCTAATACGCAATTATATTTTTTGCTATATATATTTGATAGGATAAGATTGATGGATATAGAATATTCTCTTAACGGTATGAAATTGACTTGTAAGCTATTATTGACTGAGATGTATATATATATATATATATATATAATACATAAATATATATATATATCCATATAATACATATATATACATATATATACATATATATACATTTATATACATTTATATACATTTATATACATTTATATACATTTATATACATATATATACATATATATACATATATATATATACACACACACACGTATGCATTTATGTAGCACATTGCATCATGGTGTGAGAAATAAACTTGCTGGATGATATGGGGGCGATAATTTGTATTACTATGACGACGCGGTCTATGTCCGTCAAAACAATGCACGTGACACGATCATTTCATGTATTAACGTTTCGAATAGCTACGTGTTCAGTGTCATAATTTTTACTTGAAATATTTCAAATGAATACTTTTATACAAAATGTATATATTAAAGACGGAGAATATACGAAAACAATTTATTCTATGGTAGATCTTTTTTTTTTTTTTTTTCTTGTATCCTATCCATATTTTAAAAGCATTTATGTGACCTTTTTCTTTTTTTATGATTAATGTATTAAAATTAATTGTTATAAATATAATTAAAATTATAGATCAAGGAACAGCGATATGGAGATACAATTAAAGTGTTAACGACCCTTTTTGAATCTCATCCTGATGTATGGCCTGTTGATTTTTTATATGTATCTTTTGTTATCTGCTGTAAATAAATGATTTTATGTGTGTATATGACTTTTTTTTTGCAGTCCAGACCTTGTTTATCGCTTCTTGCTCATTGTCATTTTTATATGCAAGACTTTGCGGCAGCAGCTACCTGTTACGAAAAATTGGTTCAAATATGTCCAGAAGAAAATATATATAAGCTTTATCATGCTCAATCTTTGCATCAAGCTTGTATGTACCAAGAGGCTTGGACAGTTTCTTTGACTATCATTGATTCAAGTAATTTAGAATATAAAGTAAAGAAGTTACAAGCAGCCATAAAGTATGGTCAAGAAGATATGGTAGCTGCAAAAAATCTTGTAGATCAATGTCCACTCGATGATGTGGATACAGAAGTAAATTTGGGATGTCTGCTATACAAGGTATAACACTAAAACATAAAAAAGAAATAAAATTATACATGAAGATTTTGTATTTCTTCCAGGAAGAGGAATATGAACAAGCTTTAAAAAAATTCTCAAATGCTTTACAAATTACAGGATTTAAACCTCATTTGTCCTATAATGTTGCTCTCTCTTATTTCAAACTAAAAGAATATGCAGCTTCTTTAAAACATATTGGTATAATAAAGTGTCCATTTTAAATTATCAAATTATTATTAAATTATATGTCTATTGATAAAATATTTGCAATTGAATTTATTCCATACTTTTTTCTATAGCTGATATCATTGAGCAAGGAATTAGAGAACATCCGGAACTAGGCGTGGGTATGGCAACAGAAGGTATTGAAGTTCGTAGTGTTGGAAACACGCTTACTCTTCATGAAACAGCTTTAACAGAAGCTTTTAATCTAAAAGCTGCTATAGAATACCAGTTGCAAAATTGTAATTGCATTACAATTAATTGTTAAATAACATATGATTAAGTGGTAAAAATACATTGTTCCAATTACGCTTTGATTTTAAGATGAAGCTGCTAAAGAAGCATTGACGGATATGCCTCCTCGTTCTGAAGAAGAATTAGATGCCGTTACGTTACATAATCAAGCATTATTAAATATGGATACAAAGCCGAGCGAAGGATTCGAAAAATTACAATTCTTATTACAACAAAATCCTTTTCCACCTGAAACTTTTGCCAATGTACTATTGCTATATTGTAAATATCAATATTATGATTTAGCAGCAGATGTTTTAGCTGAAAATGTACATTTAACATACAAGTATTTGACACCGGTAAGTTATAATATTATTGTACATCTTTATTGTAATATTTATAGTTTCATGATCTTTGTAATAATAATGACAGCAACTATCACACCTGTATACTACAAAAATCTTAATGTAATAAGCATTCAGATAAGATGAATTTAATTTGTATGCTTTTCCTTCGAATGTTTGCACTTTTTTGCTCGAACTTCGGTTCTATCCGAGTGCTTTCGTTTGTAACTTTTAATATTCTGACTAGAACTATCACTAGAATCTGTATCGCTGGTACTACTGTTACGCTTTTTTTTCTTTTGCTTATGATCTTTGGATCTCTTCTTCTTACTTTTCTTTGTTGTTTGCTCATTATCAGAACTACTGTCATCAGTATGCTGCTTACTTTTCTTAGATTTCTTTCTTTTTTTGGATTTTTTTGTTTTATGTTTCTTCTCTGTCTTTTCTGTCTTTTCTGCTTTTTCCGTTTTTTCTATCTTCTTATCTTCTTGCTCATCCTGTGTCTTTGGAATAGATGATACATCTTCTACCTCTGGTATTAACTCATACTTTTTTCCATTAGGCGGCACAAAACAATCTTTAGCCAAATGTCCATGCGTCCCACACTTTGTACATGTTGTGTTAAAAACAGCTTCTAATTGAATAGTTTTTCGTTGTTGCGGAACATAGGCTTTTTTCTTTTGCATATCTCTTTGTAATTCGACTCCATTAGGATCCAAGTCAGTACCATTTCCTTGATTAACATGTTTCATGGATAATCCAATTTTACCATCGTCATTCACCGAAATAACTTTACACCATACTCTTTCTCCTTTTTGTAAAATTTCTGTAACATCGTCGACGTGAGCCGAACTAACCTGACAAAGTTTTTATTATTATAATTTTATTTATATTATAATATATTGGAATATTTGATATTAAAATTTATGATACCTGTGATCTATGTATCAATCCTTGTTGCGAACATCCAGGTATTCTTACGAAAGCACCGTAATTTTGAACGGCAGCAATTTCGCCAAGAAATATTTGATTTACCTCACAATTTACCATATTTATATATATGCTTCTATGTTATATTTTCTTCGAACGATTTGACGGTTCTTAACATACTATTTTAACCCATGTCAAATCGATAAATAACAAGAAATATAGGTTAGGATTTATCACAACATAGAAGTATAGTGCCGTATCAATAAATTGTGGTACCCAACTCGTACTGGTTAATATTCAATACATTTTCTTATCTATCTTTGCATTTATACATATTGTAAAAAAGAAGTTTATTTATCATATGATTCGATTTTTTTATTGCATTTTAGTATTTATATGATTTCCTGGATGCATTAATTACGCAACAAACTTCGCCGGAAGAAGCATATCGCAAATTCGATGATCTTGCAAACAAACATACTGAAACATTGCGAAAGGCAACTAAACAGGTTCAAGAAGCAAGATTAAATCATGACGATAGTGCTGTTAAAAAAGCTGTAACTGATTATGAAGAAGCATTAGATAGATATGTACCTGTTTTAATGGCACAAGCTAAAATATATTGGGACAGGGAGAATTATGTACAAGTAGAGAAAATTTTTAGGAAGAGCGTTGAATTTTGTAACGAACATGATGTATGGAAGTTAAATGTAGCACATACTTTATTTATGCAAGAAAATAAATTTAAGGAAGCAACAGGTTTTTATGAACCGATTGTCAGAAAAAAATATGATAATGTTTGTGCCTTTTAAAATAAATTACTTTTCCATATGACAATATAATAAAATTTCATATCTCATTTTATAGATTTTAGATACAAGCGCTATAGTATTGGCAAATTTATGCGTAAGTTACATTATGACATCTCAAAATGCAGATGCTGAAGAACTAATGAAGAAAATTGAAAAAGAAGAAGAGGCAGTATCGTTTGAAGATCAAGATAAAAAGTTATTTCATCTATGTATTGTAAATTTGGTGATTGGAACTTTGTATTGTTCAAAAGGCAACTACGAATTTGGCATATCTAGAGTGATGAAAAGTTTAGAACCGTATAATAAGAAACTAGGAACAGATACTTGGTTCTATGCAAAAAGATGTTTTCTCTCTCTCCTAGAACAATTAGCTAAACAACTAGTAGTTTTAAAAGATTCCACTTTACAAGAGTGTATTCAATTTCTGGAACATTGTGAAGGTTTGTGCTTCATTTTTTATATAAAAGTTACAGTTAATTATAAACATATATATATATGATATGACACACATATACACACACACATATATATATATATATATATCCTATCATACTTTTATCATTATTATTTTATAATTATTGTTTAGTTTATGGACGAGATATACCTACTGTAATAGAACAACCATTTGATATGCAAGATATTCTAACAGTGCCACCTCAAGGAATACGAACTGTTATATATGAAGCAAGGTATTTGAAGTCATTGTTTCTAAAGCTACAAACGTCTTAAAGGTATACATGTTATAAAATATAAAATATATGTAAATGCTACTAGATATTTTTTATGTCTGGATTGTATATAGATATTAAGTGTAAAAATAAAATATATTTATTAAAAAGACAATAAGTATTATTCTATTGGTTTATACTTCAGTAACAAGATCTATTATAATTTATGTATAACAAAAAACTTTTAATATGTACATTCATATGTTAATGAGAAGATTATGTTTTAATCTTTATAAAATAATATTTTTTAACTTTTTATCATAGAAACAGGATTATATATTAATATTATTATTTATACGTAAAAAGGTGAAAAATCGAGGAAATCTTTTTAAATATTTCTAGAAACGTCCTTTATAATTTTGTTGAAGATTTTAAATGGACATGCGCATAAACGTTTGCCGACGGTTGATAACTACAGCGTAGATGAAAACAAGAGAAAAAAGCAAAATGGTGGTCGATATGGAACTTCAAGAAGCAAAAGATGAGGTTCTTCGGTTTATAAAAGATAGAGATAAAATCGAATCCGATATACGTGCGCTGAGAGATGTATTAGATAGCGTATGTATCATTAAATATATTATTTTATATAACGAATGTCAAAGATAATATTTTTGTATGAAAAAAAAAACTTGTACTTCAAGTAGGATATGTCTTATTCTTAAATAAATTAATTGTACATCTTAGAACCATGTGGGTATGGATGATCCTCTGGTGGATTCTGAAGGGTATCCAAGACAGGATATCAACGTATATCAAGTCAGACATGCAAGGCATCGGATAATATGTATGTAAAATATTTGAAAATATTATAATCAATTAGGGCATTTGATTATTTTGGATTCTTTTTAGGCCTTACAAATGATCACAAAGCATTGATGAAAAAGATAGAAGAAGGTTTACATAAAGTACATTCTATTTTTGAGAATCAACCAGAGGAGCCCACAGCAACAACCAGCGACATTGAAGAACCATTTTCAACAGAACCTTTCCTGAGAGTAAATTTGGTGTCACCTTCCTCTCCAGCTGAAGTAGCAGTGAGTATAATGATGACACTATGAAGAAAAAAAATTGATTATTTTTATATGAAGAATAAAATTAATTATATTAATATAATCATCCAATATTATTACACAAACGATTAGAATTATTAACTAGATTCAACATAAAAATGATTTGTGATATGTTCTTTTATTATAGGGGATTCAAGTCGACGATCTGATAATAGAATTTGGCTCAATTAATTATGGAAATTTTAAGACCTTAAAGGATATCGCGACATTAGTAGAACACAGTAGGTATAAGTCTTTGGATATAAAACTTAAGCGTGGATCAAGTATCTTGGCCCTGACTTTAATACCACGTCCTTGGGATGGCAATGGTTTACTGGGATGTAATGTAATACCTCTAGAAGTTGTTGAAAGATAAATTATTATTATAAATTATAAGAAACCTGATGATTATACTTATACATATATATATATATATATATACATATATATAAAGCTATTTTTATGCGTATTTTAATTGGCAATAAATTAATATTCATAAATATAATTTTTATGCTATTTTGCATTTTAATTCCTTCATTGTTATATTGTGCATTTAATAAAGGATATAGATAAATTTCTTTGGTAGTACTTAACGATGATGTAATCCTTAGAAGGAGCTTTGGTCGCTGGCATTGTAACTTGATAAAGATAATCCATCTGAGTGAGTTTCTAGTCAGCATTCCTTAACAGTCAGCATAGTATATAATGGAAATAACTCTGTTGAAAGTTAGTTAATGGGAAGTAGTATCAGCAAAATGAATACCCAGGTGATCGTAAGTTGTATTTTTGTATTTTTGCTTTTTCTATTGGAATAGTATTATTCAAGGAAATTTATTTTTAATACAGGTAGCATTTTGTCTATTTGTTTTCGTTTTTGGGGTATCATGCGAATCTACGTCGCTCGAACAATCTAATTCGTTACCCTTGACGTTCGTTTATGCTGTCTATCCGTTTTATAATACTGAAACGCTATTACAAGTTTGGAAAAATGATGAATCAGCCGAAGTTTACGCGAACGTAGTCACAGTGAATCCTGGTGAGCAGGAATTAACTGTTCTGAATGCCGGTGGTACAATCTCACGCAACGAAACTATTGATTCGAACGGGAATAGAAATCCACAAGTTCTGAAAAACGATGCTGAAAATGTAAATGTTGAACGTTTATCACAAACTAGACAGCAGCTTCGTAATTACGTGAGTTTTTTATAATCTATCTATGAGTAAATATAATTGTGAATGATGATTTATTTAATAAAATGAATATATTTTGGAACATCTATTTGACTTTTACATTATATATTTTTTGACACTATATCATCTTTATATTTATTTAGAATATTGAATACTATCAATTTTTTTTTTTTTTTTTTTTATAGAAAACTTGGCGCAGGAGTACAGATTTTCAAAATGAGTAAAAGCATCACAAGGTCTATAAAGTTCTCGATGGAGGATGGATTGGCATTCGTAAAATAATTATGCTGGTATATATATTTTGAATATGTATAAAGTGCTTTGTAGTGAGAGTTATTAAATGCAAATGATATTAAAGATAAAATATTTATTTAGTTTTCTTCCAAAAATCTCATTCTCCTTATAAATCTCATCGTATATATATATATATATATATATATATATATATATATATATATATATATGAATATATAATTTGTATTTAATTTTTTTTTTTATTCGAATTAATTTTAATTTTATTCGAATTAATTTCATAAGTTAATTTCCGATGATAGTTTTTGATATTAAATTCGTTTTTATAGAATTCTAGATTTATTTCTTTTTATAACGCGAAGAATACGTAGAACGGATAAATCTTTGATTAGGCCGAAGTAAAATGCTAAATATAGATATGTTACGCTCGATAAACTATTAGCGTAAACGTAAAATTGTTACGTCAATGCCATTGGATTACGTATGAAGTATATAATACGTAGATACCGAAATATCCCATTAATATCCATGAATGGGCGTGTCATTCAGTAGGATTTTTTTTTTCGAAAGGATAAAAAATGATGATCGTAGGAAGTAGAATAAAACGATGATATATATTAACGAGATATAATAAAGTTAATTAAGAAAAAATATAATTCTATTTTATAAATCGATTCATTAGATTTTTATCTATCGATCTCGATTATATTTAATACCGAGAATTCATTTAACTTAATTTAATTTATTTCAAAATGATTTATTTTTTTGTTTGGTTTCTAGAATAATGCTGCCTCGTAGTACATTGTTATCCCTCTCACAAACTTTTGTTCAGTCGAATAAAAGCGCCAAGCAATCGAGATTCGTTTTGTTAGAGTTCCACTCGCTTCGTTCGGATCAAGAACGAAAAGGGTGAACGCCCTTCATCGTTCCGTTTCTCTCTTTCTTTTTTTTCGGGTGGGGGGAGGGGTTGCGTTCAACATTGCATGGAACTTGCGCGCCACGTAGTTGAACAAGGTGAAAAAGGGCTTGCGCAAGCATTCTGTAATTACGGCGATTCGCTGCAATTAAAGCTCGGTTAGCCTTAGCCACGGCACGTGGATCGCGTGAAGAAATCCATCTGCCTTCGCGATTTTCTCCATTTCGAATTCTTCTTTATTTTTTAATTTAAAAAGAGATCATTATAAAAAATCTAACGGTTCCAGCCAAACAAATTTCTAACATTTCGTACGAATCATTTTGTATTAATAATAATTAGTAAAAATAATTATGTATTTGTAAAAACTTCAATACTTTTTGGAATTTTTATTTCTTTTTTTTTTTTTTCTTACAAACAAACGTTCATTGCATTATCGTATGACTGCAATGTTTGTACTATATCGAAAATATTATCTCGATGTCATACGAATGCACATAATTATATGACATTATTTTGATTTAGTTATTTAATAAAAGAATGTATATCATAATGAATAGTTTCGTTCGTAATAAATTTGTATTAATTTATAATGATCTTAGATAATAGAAATACTATATCTGAAATTCACTCTAAAATGTTATTTCTTCTAAGGGAAAGATATTGTAAATATATAAGATAAATGATAAGACTATATAAGGAAAAAATGGATCGAATAAATCCCACATACATTATCATTGCTTCGTGTTATGCATACGTTCACATAGTAAATATGGAAAGAGTATATACGATCAAACGAAAAAAACTTCTTGAGATCGATTTTTTATTAGAATGCAACTCTTAGGTTGAAGCTATTCATAGCTTATTGAAGAAAGAAGTATGGCTTAGGACGTCATATTTGAATTATATCGCCTTTTAGAGATATTGACGTTTGGTTCAAGCGGTCGAATAATTCTGACTGTTTTCTCTTTTTTAAGATGATTTATTAGAGATAATAAATCTAATAATATAATGAATCGAAGACAATAAGACGTTTAATTATTATTGTTAATGTCTTTTTCTATCTTTCTTCATCTATTCTAACTATTTCTATTTCTATCTTCGTTATTCAGGTTAATGCGATTTCGGAGTAGGAAGTTTGGCTACTTGCCGTCGTATCCGACGAACATCAACCCATCCGGCCCTATTCGACCTTTGATACACGTCAGTTGCCAACTACTACGTGCGTAAACGCGCTCAGGAAGGTTCCCACTGTCATCTCGAGCTTTGCTAATTAGTGGCCTGTTTCGCTCTTTCTCTCCTTTAGTGTCACGGAGAATACGTTCGCGCGTTAACTCGTTGCAGAAATACGCCTCCTTTGGCTACGATAAGGTGCGGTCATTCTAGTATGTTCGTTAAGCAAATAGAGACGATGGAAGGTAAACGTGAGAAGCGAGAAATGGAGAGAGAGAGAGAGAGAGAGAGAGAGAGAGAGAGAGAGAGAGAGGAAGGATACAAAAATATCCATTGTCCTTTAATCGACGATTTTTCTATGCTCGAACTTTTTTAAAAACTTTCTGATAAATGCTTTTACATTCGATTACGTTCTATTGGCGGGTAATGATAGTTCATCAGATGATGACGATAATAAAAGTCTTTTTTCATAATTATTCATAATGAGAAATAGATGCCCTTATTTATTATTTAACTATGTTTATTTATGAATTTTCCATAATTACGTAAATAATTATTTATAAGAATAATAAATATTCCCCCTGGAAATATCCGACACTTCATGTCAGAAGATAATAATAAATAAGACAATTTTGTTTTAAATTATTCTTATTATTATATATGTTTTATTTTTAGTTTTATACACCTGTATGAATACGTTGTTTATCATTATGTAATTAAATAATTTCTTTACCAATAGATAACATTCGTAAAGATTATTATCGACAAAGTAGTATGTAAAGATTTAAATATACATATTTCCGTGCGCAATAGTCATAAAATTATTTTAGAATTTTATTTAATCTATTTATCTATTGAAATATGATTAACAATGTAAAATGTAAATACTTTAACAGTTTAATTAAAATTAGAAATAAAAGGTTATTAAAATATGCAGCCATTCGGCCATTAATTATTCGCAGTTGCATTCTTTATTTTAAAAAATATAGTCGTAAATGGAAATAAAGAATGCATTAAATATGATATTTTGATTTACAATATATTTTTTTGTAATACAATTTTTTTTATTTGATATGCACTGATATAGTTAAACTTTCATCTTTAAAATCAGACCTTATTTATTAAAATCGATACGCCTGGATTCATTGCTGTTGGATTCATGGAATAAACCATTATAAAACATGATGAACAGCCTTAACCATTTTTTCCTTCCAATTTTTTTTTCCTTTTGGAAACTGCTACTGCTTCGAAAAAAAAAGAAAAAAAAAAAAACGAAAACGATTTGAATCGGATGGCGTTTCAACGATTAATGTATTTTTAGCTCTCGCGAAAGTGGAGAATTTCGTTCGTTCCGGCAAATAAAAAAGTATATAGAAGGATGTAGGGACTTCCATCCGATTTCAATTTTTCGGCAATATTCATTCTGTGAGGGGATTATTCACGTACAACTCGTAACGTGATTTCGAATCTTTTTCCCGTCTGTGAAACATTAGATCGAAATCCATTCCGAGATCGTGAAAAAATAAAACGATCACAAAAAAGTCGTCCCATATGAAATCGATCATTTTACAGATTTTCAAATTAATCTTTTTTAGAGGAGAAAGTTAAATTCAATTAAAAATTGTATTATACTTATTATTAAAATAAAATTTATATGGATGATACTTTGGATTAGGATAATCATTTTATCGATCGATTAATATAAACAGAATTGAAATTATTATCAATTGTAATCTTTGATCAATTAGTAAGATTAAAAATGTTCCATCGATCAATGATTAAAGGTCGTGTATGATGAGAGGGCCAACATAGATGTCTACAAGATGACATTACGATGTGGAGGAATGTCAAAGCGACCAGTCGCGTGACATTTCCTACCCGTAGGATCCGCCTTGTAATAACTTTGGTCGAGGCATGCCGAAGGCATGTCCTTCTAACATATACGTATACATACATCTTATGTATAGATGCGTACGTACACGTACCATCTATATACCATCGTACACTATCATCGTATTTACGGGTACCTAGTTATCTATTCGCTTCATCTACGTGCACGTATATCCGTAAACTCTTCTCTTTATCGTTTATAAGCGATATATATAAGCCGATGTAATGAATCTTTTCTAACATTGAAATCATTTTCATAAATTGTACGAGGTTAAAATTACGAACAAGATATGTGTATGTGTATGTACTATATGTATATGTATATTATCTTATGGATTTTTTTATGTTTTCAGATAATTAATGAATTCTTTGAAACGTTTGAATCGTTTTCATATATTTAATTATTTGAAAGATCAACATCGATGAAGATTATTATTTTGTTGATAGTGAAAATTATGCTTGCAATTTATCTAATTTCTTCTTTTTTTTTTTTTTCTTTTTTTGGCAATGTAGAATCTATGGGTATCATTTTTAACGAGTATCATTCATGTAGAAGAGAATTCTGATAGTTTCTGGAAGATTTAAGATCGTGGCTTGAAGATCGCAAGGAAAATGTGGTCAAGGATGTAACGGAATTACGTCTGAAAAGTATTTTCAGTAAGCCACGTCGTTGCCGTTCTCTGCTTCTCCTCTCTGCTTCTACCCTCCGGAGAAATGATAGATGGCCAGGAACTATGTCGCAAAGCGAGCGAGCTTCGTCTTTTTGTCGAAATAATCTCGCGGTAGAATTTTAGTGGAACGCGATAACGTCTCCGCAACGACCCTGGGATGTTCTAAAGCGATTAATATATTACCAGCTCGTGGACGATATCTTCTTGGTTATTCGGCCATTATTAACGCATTTTGCTGTTAATTTTCTCATTTCGAGAGTCACCGGTGCAAGAAAATCTAAGTTATATAGTTGTCCTTACAGTTAACAAATACATTTATATAAACGTAAATATATATCTTAAATGTCATCTAAAATGTGAATCGAAATGCGATTAATTTTATACGATCAAAATATGTATCAACGTTTACAATTTATCTTAATCAGAAGTCTAGACACCGAGACTACAGAAGATGTGTTTAATGATATTTAGTTAATATTCAAGAAATGTTACATTTTCTGGAAACATAAGAAAGACTTGAGATTAGTTCATCCATTATGAGATCTTTCGAAATCTTTATATTGAAGTTGGTGGGCATTAGTTTGAGCATTATTGTTAATATAAACTTTTCTTCTTATAATTTTTAGGATATGTATTCACTTTTAAAAATTATTACTTTCTCCTTGAGCAAATTTACAATCATCGAATTTAAAATTGAGGATACCCAAAGATTCCTTCATCAACGTATAATCCTTAAGGATACCATTGAGTTCGTTTTCAAAATCATGCGAGTTCTCAACCGAGACGGTATACTTATTGACGTTTTTCAACGTACCTATCAATTTGTTTTCCAATCTTGCATCGAGCGTTTTCAATTTTTCGTAAGAATTCTGTAAATCACCAATTTTCGTTCTAAAATCAGAATTTGTCTTTCTAAGGACCGTGAGTTCGTCCTTCAAAGCGATTTTTTCAATCTTCAGGTTATTCACTTCTTGCCGAGCCTCGTCCAATCGTATTCCGAGAGTTTGCTTCTCGTCTCTGAGCTTTATCAACTCGATCTTAAGAGCTTTCAGTTCATCGAGAGCACGGCGAAGCTCATTGACGGTTTTGTCTTTATCAGTGATCGCAGCATGCATGCTATCTCGCAAAATATCAATTTCAGCTTTCAAAGCACCGTTAACAATCTTCATTCTCGAGAGAATGTTAGTCAATGCATCAAACTTTTCTTTTAAATCCAGACCAGGTGTTAAAGTCTCCTGATTTGCCTCGCTTGGCGATACAAGTTGTTGAGAGTTTGGCTCGACTTGAGTTTCGCTCTCTTGACTTTTCATAGAAACTCTTCGAAATTCCATGATTTCTAAATGATCGGACCGTTTGTCTCTACGAGTATTGCTTTTAATTCGAGCCAATTCGATTTTGATCTTCGTATTTTCGATTCTTAAATTAGTCAATTCTAATTTTAAACTTTCGTTCGCTAGTCTCAATTTTTTCGTATCATTCTTCTTCTTTGACTTGCCCTTGCCCTTGATTTTATCAGCTGATCTTTCATATTCCATAGTTTTTTTCTCATTTGTCTCGTACAACCTAGTATCGTCTTCTTCGTTAAATTCCAAGTTTTGCAGTTGTTCAAGGAACTCGTTCGAACGAGCTTTCAACTCTTCGTTCTCCGAACGTAAAGCTTCGTTGCTAACTTGCAGACTTTTCGCATGATTATCAAGTATTCTGTACTCGTTCCTCATTTCGTTGTATTTCCCATGCAATTCTTCGACTGTTCTCCTCAGTTCGGAATTCCTAGATTTCGCTTCGTCAGATTCGATTCTCGACTTATTCAATTCCACGGAAAGATATTCACATTCGGTTCTCGTTTTATTCAGGTGATCCTTCAACGTGAAGTTTTCTTCATTGAGTTCCTTCGTACGCATCATCAGGTGATTCTTTTCCGTTGAGATCACGCGTAGTAGAGCCTCCGTTTCGTTATTCTTCATGGTCAATGCATTTAGATCGTTGCTGAGCGTTGAATTTTCCGTTTGAAGATCATTGAGCTTCTCGTTGGTTCGTTCAAGGACACTTGCAATCTCGTTGGAGCGTATTTTCCAATTGTTTGCTTCCTCATCTAACGATGACTGAATTATTTGGAATTTTGCCACTTGCTCCAAAAGCGAATTATTTTTCATATTCAATTCGTCGATCATTGATTTAATTGACTTTCTTTCGGCTCCCAGTTCTAAGATTTCACCCTTCAGTTTGTTATTTTCTTTATCGTAACGATCAACTTTAGTTTCTAAAGTTGCATGTTTAGATAACAGCAATTTGTATTCTTCATGAGTCTCTTCCATCACACTCGATCGTTGTCTCAGCATTTCGTTTTCTGAAGTTAAACGTACGACGTCGAGCTCGATCTTTTTACATTCAGAATTCATTATATCGAGTTTCTCTTTCAGATCATTTATCGTATTTCTCGCTTCATTCAATTTACGTTCTAATTGTTCACGCAAATTTTCTTTCTCCGACGTTTGCATTGACTTCTTCAATTCTTCGTTCAATTCTCTCGATACTGCTTCTAGATTTCTCTCAAGTTTCAATTTTGACGCACGAATTGTAGACAATTCCTCGTTTCTTTCCTTCAACAGTTTATTCATTTTCTCGGTTTCCATGAATAAATTCTTTTTATCGTTCCGTAGATTCTATAGTAAGACATAAATAATGAATATTTATACGAAGTAACATATATACGATTAAGGAATCGTTACCTGTAATTGTGTTGTCGAATTATTCAATTCGGCTTTCATTCGTCGCATCTCTTCCAGCCGATTTCTCGAATCCTTTTCAAATTCGTCGATCTCCTTGCTAAGGTTCGTATTTTTCTCTCTCGTTTTCTCCAATTCCTTTTTACCCCATTCGAGTTTTTCCTTTAATACACTCATGATTTCCTCTTTATTCGATAATTCGACTTTCGACTTGACCAACAATTCTTCCAGTTCTTCGATTCTTTCCAATAATTTCGTGTCGTTGCCAGAATAAATGGTACCTTCTAAATCCCTCGATTGAGAACACAATTCGTCGATGAGTTTTTTCAATTCTCCGAGCGTTTTCGGCTGAGACGTTCGTGGATTATCTTCATTTGGATTTGTATCAAATTCGCTGATCTTTCCTTTGCATCTCTTCAATGTCTCTTCCAACTCTGTTAATCTCTTAAAGTACTCGAGACAGCTAGTACCACCTAGTTTACAGTTAGCCACGGGCTCGATCTTCAAGTATGCAAGCTCGATATTCGTTTGTTCTATAATTTTCTCTAATATTTCTACACTTTTAACGTAATCCTTCTTCATTTTCAATTTCTTCTCGTCTTTACATTTTTCCATCAGAATTAAAGAATTCTCTAATTCCTCGTGCAATTGTCTTAGGATCAATCGAACTTCGACAATCTTCGTTACGTAACGAAAGCAATCAGGATTGCCAGTAGTTATAAGGGCACGTCGATCGTTTCTCAGTTTGTTTCCCAATTCGTTCATCATCTTATCGATCTTTCCAATTATTTTCATGTACATCCAAAAGTCGAAACTATTATTCCAAGAACTAACGTCGAGATTTTTCTTAAGATAATCCACGTTCATTTTTAATCGTCGTAAAATATTTTGGAATTCAATGATCCTCTTACGATAATTTTCTGGATCGCCAGTTTTGATTCTTAACATGGCTTTGATCTTATCGATCTCGTAACGCAATTGTCCATTCTCGCAATTCGATTTGTAAAGATCCTCGTTGGCGTTCACTAATTCCTCTGAGAGATTTGGCACCGTTACAGCAACTCTACCTATGATATCCTTAAAAATGATCTCCATTGTACGATCGCCACTTGCAAATTCTCGTAATTTCGATTTTAATTGCCCGATAGTCTCGATATGCTCATTGCCATTCCATCGTTTCTCTTCGGCTTCTCGAACTCGTCTCTTCAATCGTTGAATCTCATTATTAAGACGCTTTTTCTCATTGGCGAATTTTTCTTTAATCTTAACGATATTGTCTCGCAATTTGCACGCAGTCCCTCGCGTTATATCGTTTTCCGCTTTGGCCAATGCATTTCTTAAATTACTTATTTTCATCTCGAAGCTATTGCCACTTTTAGTAGACATTTTGAATTGCTTCGTAGTTTCAGTGAGTTTATCCTTTTTTTTTTTTTTTTCTTTTTCCTTTTCTACGTTCTTCTTTTCGTCAGTCTCGTGTGATCATCTCGACGAAGTTTTATTAATAATCTTTGAAGGTTAAATGTTTTAATTTTATTTCTTTCTTCTTTGCGAACAACTACTATTTTACTTTCCTTTAATGATTTCTCGCGAGAACTCACAATTCCTGTCGTACCTCTCCGTGAATTTATTTCCTTTATTTGAATTCAAATCGATAGGGTTAAGTGTTAGTCGAAATTAATTACTTTTTAAATTCTCTCTTCCTTCCCCGGTTAAATATACTTGTATGATTAACGTTCTGGGAGATTAGAGAAACGAGCAATCTCGATGATATCAGGGATACTTCGCATTTCTTCAATCATTTACGTCAATTCGTAGCTGTTAAATTGTTAAAAATGAAATCGGCTCGCTTCGGTGGTAGATTCACTTTCGAACGATAATGCATTGTGACTCTTTAGCGACACTTTTATTCTCTCCTACGAGAGAGAATTTATATACGCTTGAATTTATAACACTTGGCCAGTGATTTTGATAGAAATGCCCGAAGTTTCGTATAATACGTTGAAAACAAAGTTCGATCATCGATCTTATTACATCTCGTTCTTCTCTGATAGTCAATGATAATCGATCGATTATTATTATTTAAAATAAAAGTCAGTTGAGAACATATTAATTTATATACTTATCACTCACGTATATGTTTTACACGTCGAAAACATTTTCTTCGTAGTTCGCAATTACTGATAGAATTTAATTGACGATGTATACCGTTCGATAAGATCTTCGATGTAATCGGACATGACTCAAAGTACTCTCGAAGCTCTCGAAAGCAAAGGAACGAAGGTATCGTTTTCCAAGTTACTCGATATCGGATCGCGTTATAAGAGACGATAGTATAACGAGAAATTGCGAGAAGGAGCGTGTTCAATGAAGCGAAGAGAATTTAACGCGAAGTCACTGTGTCGCAAACGTCGATATAATTCTTCGTTCGGAGAAATGAGGAAAGTTACGTTCTCGAGAACCAGAGAGTATGATTTTTCGAGGGATGAAAAGGCACTAGGCGCCTTCGAGTCGAAAGAGAGAAACTTTTCAGGCCTTTTTAATTGCCCCACTCACAATCAGATATGATGAAATTTTGTTCTTTAAGAATGAGAGGTTTCTTTGATTCCTTGCTCGATTTAAACCAAATTTTTAACAAACATTATTTCATTATATTTAAGTTCTTCGGACGGCACATGATATAGAATTTTTGAAAAAAGGTAATTAATTTAATGACGATGAAAGAAATGAACACAGATTAAACTTTATTATCCGTAATTATCAATATATTTTTAAATTTAATTATACTTCAAATTTTATAATTTGATAAAGACAATTAATTAAAAGATTATTAATATCTATTTCTAAAGTCAAATTATTTGAAGAGCTTGATTTGAAATTATTTTATTATTATAAGATAATTTTCTTTATTATATCCATCATTAAGATACTATATTTTTATTGACATACTGATACAATCTTTTTTTTTTTTATGATTAAATCGTATTAAAAGAGTTCATGAATATGAAAAATCGAGGTTATCGATCAATCGACATCGTTAATCGATAATAAAAGGATAACGCCTATATTTGATTGACGTCAAGGAATCCCTAAGATTTAATGTTATGTTTTTATCGAAAAAGTTATTCATGCCGACATAGTTTCGCAGCGACGTAGTGTGTTAGGCTTTTTCCATGATAACTTAAAATTCTCGTGCAACTCACTCGCATCGGTGATTCGACGGCAGTGAGAGCAATAAAAAATATCTGAAGTGTGAGGGTGTAACCTAAAAAATTTCTTTCCCTTTTTTATTTTAACTCCTTCTTTAATCTTTTTCCTTTCTTTTTTCTTTTTTCTTTTTTTTTTTTTTTTTGATTAAAAAAGAATGGCGAACCCAGGTATTTGTCCGTGTGGATGCGACATACCACCGTCTCGTATTTCCTTACATTCACCGAGCGAGCCATGCTGTTGTTGCGTCTATGATCCTTTCAGTGATAATTCGAAGGAGTCAGAGATTCGGGATTTTTCGTTTGCCTTAAAAAAGCTTGCAGTAATGCGCTGCCAAATGAAAAAATGGCGGATGGAGAGACTTCAGCTTGAAAGCGAAACTAGGTCTCTGAAACAAGCTCTACAATCATTCGGTACCATCATATCTTGAGTGTTGCGTTGAACAAAGATATATATATATATTTTTTTTGTTTTTAAACTATTTTTATTTTTATCTTAATTTTTTTCTTAGGGACACTCGTTTTCTCTCTCTCTCTCTCGCACTCTCTTTATTTGTCTCTTCTTAAATTTTAGCCTGTTTCGCTCGTGATTATTCGTTTCTTTTTTTTATGAAATAACTAGAGAAACATTTGATTTGGTCGAAATAATTTCTCAACGCTTTGTAGGCGTTGATACGAACGTCGCGTTAAAACCAGATCCTCTGATTGTGCATTATCGCCAAGAGAACGAAAGACTACAAAATGCAAATGAAGAGCTCAAGGAAAAGCTGAAGAATCTCGATGAGAGTCTTGCCGAACGTGAGTGTTGGGAGGATCCTGAAGAGGAGGTTATATATGTCAGGGAGAAGATGAAAACGTTGAAAGAACATTTCGTTGCTGAAAAGAAACAGTAATTTATCGTTAACTATGTTAATTATGTAACATCAGATTAATAAAATGTCAAGTAGTTGAGTTAATTAAATTTTATATAATGGTGATGAACATTTATCCATATTACCTATATATATTATTATTATTATGTATACTGTTATTAGTAATAGTAACATAAAGTAATAATTATATATTATATATGATGTTGAAGAATAAAACATGAAAAATATGTGTTCTAAAATAAATTTCATTATAGATTTAGAGAGAAAATAAGCGAACTGAAATTGAAATTGGCTGAAGCGGAAGATGATACTTCTTGCGCAGCTTTGAATCGTCTCAGAGCGAAATTACGAGAATTGATGAAGAATGGTGAAGAGGCGGACCGGCAGGTCGCGGATGTCGTCGAAAGGTCTATGGATACGATGGTTGATCTTTCGAAAGGCTGCGAGGAATTGAAGTTAGATAACGAACGACTTTACCGGTTATTGAAAGATCTCGGTATAAGTCCAGAGGAGATCGATGAATATCTGAAGAATCTTGCCGATGATCCTGCAATCTACAAAAGTAAGATTCCTATTGATTTTTCATTATTCTCGACGAATCAATTTTATGAAACTTCTGCTGGTTTTTTCTTTTTTTTTTTGCTTTCTTCTTCTTCTTTAGTTTTTTTTTCTTTTTCCTCTTTCTTCAAAGTTAGGAAAAATGTTTATTCTTTTTTTCTAGTTCAACAACGTTTTGATTCTATATTTAATTTGTCGAGTGAGATAAGAGATTCTGTTAAGTAGTATTAAAAGAAACGATAACGATAAGTCGATGACAATGAGTTTCTACGATGGCGTAGAAACGATCGAAGATTCACCCCAGAACAAGTTGCTGAATCTAGAAAAAAAACTGAAAGATTGTGAGGAAGCTATGAAAGGTATGAGGGGACAGCTAGACGAAAAGAATACCATCCTTGAGTCTTTAACGAAAGAGTTAGACCAAGAGAGAAGATCTTCTATCGCTTTTGCATCGGATCTCGATAAGGTTTCTGTAAGCTATAAGACTCTGATGGAAGAAGTAATTGCGGCAAAGACGGAACTTCAAAGAAAAGACGAAAAAGTAAGACTTTGTTATCTCTCAATCGTTTAACTAGAATTCCGATTATACATTATTAATCTCCTGGTGTAGTTTTAATTTTTTTCTTTTTTTTTTTTTTTCTGTTTCTCTTTTATTTTCGTTTTACTTCTTATCTCATAAAATATATCTTGTATATTTAATAAGATTGATTATAATGAATTTCATATTATTTCTTCAGATATCCAATCTCATTCGTGAACTTCGACAATCGATGATTGATTTGAGCGGTACGAATGATAATAATTAATTCTTTGTTATGGACAAAGTTTTAACATTATCGTGATGTGTTTTATCTCGTTTCATTTTTATAGATTTGAATAAGGTGCAAAGAGAAATGGAGGAAGTTAAGCCTCAACTGTACAGTATCACAGTTGAGAGAGATGAACTTTTGGATGAATTAGTGAAAACACGTGAGATCGTTGGAGAAAGAAATGACGAGATTATCAAGATCCTCGAATTGAAGGCAAAATCAGAAAAGGATTGCATTGCGAAGTTGGCTGATATGCAGGAAAAAATGAATGCAAAATTGTCGGAGGAAACGAGTCTGAAGAAGGATATCTCTGATTTAGAGAATGAACTTGTACGACTTCGAGGCATGACACAAGATGTAGAAGAGCAACGGACACTTAACGAGGAGTGTTCGAAGAAAATTAAAGATTTGGAAAATGAATTGACTTCATTAAAAAATATCTTAAATAATTTGAACGATGAAAAAGATAATTTAATTTCGGAGTTAAATAATATGAAGCTCGAAGGGGACAATTTGAAGAAGCTACTTGCCGATGAAGAAAAATTGAAAAATGATCTTAGTAATAAACTCGATGCAATCGAAATAGAGATGGGAAACTTACGTAACGAAAATTTAAATCTCGCCAATCAATCGGAAGAATTACAAAGGGAGAAAGAGAGGAAAGAGAAAGTTGAGGAAGAAATTAAACGTTTTGAAAGTGAACTTGATTCAGCGAGGGCTCAGAAGGAGAAGGCTGAAAAGGAAAATGCAACATTAACCGAGGAACTCGCGAAACTTGGCGAAAAGAACGATAAATTAATAGCAGAAAACGAGTCACTCAAGAGAAAAATAGAAGAGCTCGATGGCGTACTCGAGGCGTTGAATAAATGTAAAGAGGAAAATAATAGTTTGAGAGGTAGGATAAACGAGTTGGAGTCTATAAATAATGCATCGAAGGAAGAGAGTGAACGAGCAAAGGCGGATGCTGAGAGGATAAAGAACGAGAGTATAGCAATGAAGGACGCTCTTGATAAAATGATAGAGGAGTTGGATAAACTTAAAGATGAAAATGAACGGCTGAAAATGCAAAATGACGAGAATAGTCGGCTTAAGCCCGAACTAGAAAATTTGAGGTCTGCTAATGAGGCTATCAGAAAAGAATCAGAGACGTTAAAGGCAAAGCTGAACGAAACGTTGGATGAGTTAAACGCTGAGAAATTGGCGAGAAGTAACGTTGAGAAAGAATTGATGGCATTGAAGAACGAGTTAAAGAATTTGCTCGATAAGATCGACAAATTGAAGGAAGAAAACGAAGCTCTCAAAGAAGAGAAGGAAGAGTTGAAGAAGACGCTCTTGAAGTTTGATGATGACATGTCAAAATTGAAGAATGCCAATAGGGATTTGAATAAAGAAAACGAAACGTTAAAGGCTCGAATAGCCGATTTCGAGGCAAAGATTATTAAATTGGAAGAAGATATAGACCACTGGGAAACGGAGAATTGTAAAATCCATTTAAATGTTGAAAAGTTGAAAGGGAATTTAGAGAAAGCGATGAAAGACTTGGTCGAATGTCAGGTAATGATTCTCTTTGTTCTATTAATTTATATCAAAGAAAATGTGAATATATGCAACTTGGTTATGTTTTAGGTAGCTAAGAAATTATTGGAACAACGAGTTTTTGAATTGGAGGAGGAAAATTCGAAAGTTCAGAAATACAATGAAGACATACTGTCCAACCTGGATCATCTAAAGAAGTCTCATGAACTCGACGAATCATCGAAAGAAAAATGCTTAAAGGATCTCAATAATACAAGGGAGGAGAATAACAGTTTGAAGGATGAATTAACGGCATTGAAGGCTGAATTATTGAAACTTAGAGATGAGAACAAAGATCTGAAAATTTCGCTCGCAGATACTATGAAACGGTTGACGTCGGCCGAAGCTGAAATAGAACAGCAAAAGGCTGAGATATCAACATTGAGAACTGAGAATACTTCGATGAAAGGGGAAGTTGAGAGATTGAAGGCCGAAAAGGAGAAATTCTCGGGAGAAGCAGCCAAGTTAGGAGCGGATTTGGCGAGGTTGCAAAACGAGAACGACAACCTAAAGACCGGCCAACAGAAGCTAGAGGAAGATTACGGTAAACTTCGAGGTCACGGAGATGGGCAAAAGATCGAGATCGATAAACTGAAGTCCGAGTTAGCTGAGGAAAGATCGAACATTGATAAACTGAAAACAGACTTATCTTCTTGTCGAAAAGAAAACGATGAAATAATGACAGAGTTAAAAAGGTTAAAAGAAGAGAATGAAAAGTTGAAGAGTGAATTGGAATCAGGTAAACAAATTTTATTAGACACGGAAAGTAAATTGCAGAATATAGAAAAGAAGATATCGGAGATGGAAAAAGAGAAAGTTAGTTTTCTCGATGAGTTGAAAGATCTAAGATCGCAGATCAATAAACTCGAAGGACAATTGGAGAACGAAAAAAATGCTAAAGAATCTGCAATAAAAGATTCTCTGGTTTGTAAAGAAGAATTGGCTGCATTGATGGAAGAATTGACCAAACTGCGTGCCGAAACGGGAAAATTGCAAGCTGAAGCGGACACATTGAAAGCCCGTGCAGCCGATGAGATTAAGCTGCTCGAAAGTAAACTTCAAAAAGAAGCAGATTTGAAATTGGACAATGAGAAATTGAAGAAAGATCTTGCGGAGTGTAACAAGATGAAGGATGCTGCGTTGAAGGAAATAGAAACTCTACGAGGTCTTGTTGCTGAACTGGAGAAAAAATTAGATCAATGTCAAAAGGATACGGAACAATTAAGATCGGACAACGATAGATTAAAGAATGATATTAGTAAGACACGTGAAGATCTTAAAGCATTGGATACGATTAATCTTCAATTGAAGAAAAAAATGGCGGATGATTTAGATGCTTCGAAAAAAGAGATAGATCAATTGACATTGAAGTCGAAGTTAGAGTTAGATACTCTAAGAAAAAAAGGTCAGTTCTTATCTATATCAGGTTTATTACTAAAGTTATTTAAAGTTCTCCTTTCTTTCTTTTCCCCTCCCCTCTCTCTCTCTCTCTCTCTCTCTCTCTCTTTGTCTTTTTCTCTCGATCTTCAATAAATTTTGAACATTTCGATGTAAGAATTAAGTAAAGTAATAGCATCTATTGATATTATTTAATTTCATTGTTTAATTTAATAAAAGATAAACTGATGATTTTAGATGATAGTGATTTTATAATCCCGATCAAGGCGTTGAAGGAAAAAATAGAACAGCAGAACAACGGTAAGAGACGTTCAAAGTTCAAATAGATATTTTCCTAGTATGTAAGAATTTTAACGAGCCGAACGATAATGATCACGAAGTATTCGAAACTTTTAATTGGCGACGAGTTTGATGCTTCTGAATAAGTCTGTGGCTTTGCGAAGTTAGAAACGACAGATGCACAAATACAACTTCCAGGAAATAATGTCGATCTGTAGCAGTTTTCGAGAGAATGTTCTAAAGTCACGATTTCGAGTTCGAATTTCAATTACTGTAATTGAATCAAATTTAATTCCAACTTAAAATTCATATTCTTAATTGATAGTAAAGTTACTTATCTATTTCCCATATCTATTTTTCTCTTGGGAATCAAAAGAAAAATAGATAAATTCATTAAAAATGTTTCCAAATGTTCCATTATTTTCTTAAATAACGATTTAACGATAAAAATCAACAATAAAATCAATTCTTTGTTCTTATAAATCGATTGATTCGAGTAGGTGTGAATTGTTTGAGGGATTACATTATGTTTTTACTTGGAAAAATGGAAGAAAAGCCAAAAATGGTTTCGTTCTTCGAAGAAGAGGACGATGATTTCGTTCGAAGATTAATTCCACCTTTCGATGGATTAATTCCGATTTCCCATGAACTCTCCAATAATATTTATCGTGCAGAAATCGAAATACAGGAATTGGATGATTTACGAAAACCTACGACGGAGGATGAAGTTTTGGAAGAGGTTAGTGAAACGTCGATAAATATAATTCATAATTTTTTTCTCTGTCGTAATTATTCTATCAAGAGATGTAAATACTCATTTAAATATTTATCGATATTTTATAATCAAAATTTTGATATTGCAAAAGAAGTGTCTAAATTAATTGCAGTTATTGTTCTTCTGTTCGCGAAGGTTTCAATATATCAACCAAATACTTTATTTAAAATTTGAACATCAAATCTTTTAAAATATGTACGGTAGCAATGGAATGTTTATTTTTTGCGTATGACCTTGGGATAGAGAAAAAAGAAAAAAAAGAATAAAGAAATTTCATCATGTGTACTTAACAATTTTAATTTTGAGGAATTCGATATATGCACATTTATTAATATTTTATGTTGTAAATCAGTGATTTTGATAGCCTTTAATTTTCTACTAGTAGGTAGCGCGTTTGCATATCCATTCTTATAGCACGGTATCAGAAGCTTTGTTTACGAAATGACGTTTAACGTTACCAAGCACAGAACACAAATCGTGTAATTACAGTTATTAATTAGTTCGTGCAGATCCAAGCGCTTGGCACTCTCTGACGCTGATGTGTCGCCATCAAGCCGTAATAATAACGTGCAGTTGAGAAATATCTATTATTATGCGATATATATATATATATATATATATATATATATATCGTTGTCTACTGTAAATTTTTATAATTTTATTTTTCTAATGTTGCAAAATGAAAACTTATTATAATAATCATTTAGAAATTAATGGAAGACGAATTGCTCGAAGAGGAAGAAAAGCCTCCGCTCGATGTCGATGATTGGTTAAAAGTTAGTATACATATTAGAAATAAGATTAAAATAATAATTATTGAATATTTAACTCTCTATAATCTGTATTTGTGTTTGTGTATGTAGATGTATGTATGTGTGTATACTATATATGCTATAGACATATTAAGGATGTATCTTTATATTTGAAATTTTACTTTATTTTATCGCTAATAATTTAATTGTTATTCCATATTTGAAATTTCTAATGTTTATGAAGCAAAAGTTATAGTATAGTATAATTTTATATTAATATTAGTAATAATATAATTTCCACATTATATTAATATTTGTTTAAATACAAAAGACAATTGGTTTATAGAGAGTTAATGTAATAGAAATAAAAAGTATGTAATGATAAATTATACTTTTTATATGGATTATATTAAATAACCAAATTCATCATACCAAGCTATTCTTTAAATGTAAATTTTAATTAATTAAAAGTTAATGGAAAAGTGTAAGTGTAAGTAAAAATAAAATTTCTTTTCAGTCATTAACACTAACAGAAATGGCGGATCTTCACGATAAAATTTGTTTACTAACGTCAAGTATGGTTCGAGACGATCGCGATGCACCAACTTGCATTAGAGCTTTTATCGGTCCTTTTCCCGGACAAAGTCCTTCTCAAGAAGATTACGATGTTTTGAACAAAAGAATTGCAGCGCTACAAAGGCAAATAACCGAGAAACAAATGGAGGCGTCTTGGAAGTTGCAGGAATTAAAGAGGGCTCTTCGTTTCGAGCAGGCGAATCTTATACGAATATCCGACGAAATGAATTTAGAGAGAAAGCGAAATCTGGCTCTTCAGCTTACTATGGACGATGGGATTCTGACTTCGGACGAAAATTAGAACATATTTATGTTCAGTGTATTGTTGTTAATATTTGTGCCATTGTAATCACCGGTATGATTTCGATCAAATAAATATCATAAATCTTTCGAAATAATTACATTGACGTATTTATATAGATATATAATATAACATTACCGAAATAATATTCTGTTTGTTTTATTTAAAATATCTTTTTTCTTTTTTTTTTAATTAAAAATAAAATTAAAAGAGAGAGAGAGAGAGAGAGAGAGAGAGAGAGAGAGAGAGAGGGAGAATACTACCTAATATTCTATACTCTAATAACAAGTTTCTAATTATTTTTAAATAAAATAGAAATATTTTAAATAAAACATATACAGAATTTTTTCGTTTCGAATAATATGTACATTCTATTTGAATTGAAGATAAAATGTTTATTTTTAGAAAAACAATTTCTCTCTCTCTCTCTCTCTCTCTCTCTCTCTCTTTTTCTTCATCAAGTAGTTTCGCAAAGATTACGAAAAACCTATCATGAAAGTCCGATTTAGTGCTTCATGCGATTGTGGCTTTCGATTTCGGAAGAGGAGGTTGCGAGAGATTCGATCGCGATTAATTCAATTGCATTGGACTTTGGTGGCTGGGTGTGGACGGAAACGAGACTGGATACGAGAGTGGTAGTAGGCACATCGACGATGCTTTCGTAGTGCGTTGTTCTGCACAATTGGAAGCCGACCGACAAAGAGTAAACATATAATCGAAATACGCCAATGGATCAAATGTTAAATGTATTGTTGTTGGGATTCGTTTAACTGACGTTTCAATCATTTTGAAATCGAAACAGTGCTCATGAAATTTATTTGAGGATTTTCGATTACGAATACGAATCTTATTACTACTTTAATTCCCTCTTCAAATTGTCATTCATTTATAATAATCTTTGATACGATAAAAAAAAAATATATATATATCTATATATAATATGTAAATATAGTTTTCTCTTAGATATGACAAATATTAATGCATATTAAATTTATCAAAAAGTTTCATCAATATTGCTATGTACGATTATTTTTATATCTTTTTATAATTTTTTCTTTTTTTTTTTTCTTAAACATCACTTTTTACGAACATCGACGAGTACAACGTTTTCTCTATTTTCACAATTTCACAAATAATCTGTTTTATTTTCACAACAGTCTTTTTTTTTTCACTTGCGTAAAAGAAAAAAGTATACGATGACGTAGATGAATTTTGTCGGTTTCCATTTTTTCTTCATAATAAAAAATGATATTACGTTGTTACTTAAGATAATTTTTTAAATTACAATAAAATCATTTCTTAAATTTATCAAATTTTGTAAAAAAAAAAAAAAAAAAAAAAAGACTATTAATACGCGGTAACTTATACTTATTTACAATACGATAAACTTTTGCGATGATCTTTTAATATCAAGTTGATCCCATTCTTCGACGTTTCTATTAGTTTTAAAAGAACACACTGGGATATCAAACGGGATGACTGTAGTTATAACAAACTCCAATGCCGTCTTTTCATAACATTATCTTAACTTAGCTCTTTATTTCTCTCTCTCTCTCTCTCTCTCTCTCTCTTTCTCTCTTTCTCTCTTTCTCTCTCTCTCTCTCTCCATTTCTCTCTCTTTCCTTTCTCTCTCTCTTTCGAAGTTACAATACTAACTTGGTGCACTCCTAGTTACGTCGTTCGTTCCAGGCTCGCTCGTGCGAGCTTTTGTAAGCGGCGAAAGCCGGATAGTCGAGGGTAATGAAAACAGGTCACGTTATGCGCCTCTTTGTGAGCGCACTGGGCGAATGCCAATGTTAACAGTCGATGGGGTATTCGGTGCGGTTCGAGCGTTCTTCGCGATACAGCGGCACGCCACGACAGTGAGCGTGATAACAAGGAAAGATCCAGGATTAAATGGGAAAGGCTATCAGGAAACCGGCCGATTTTGTTATTTTGCTCTGATCAAACGTTCTTTTTACTTACATTCGCAAAAAAATTAACGATTGTTCGCATTCGATTGCTTAATTTCGCTTTCTCATTTATTGAGAGAGAAAGAGAGAGAGAGAGGGGGGGGGGGGGAGGGAGAGAGAGAAACAAAAAGAAAATATATTGTACGTTTATTATTTAAAGGAAATTAGAAAGTGATTAAGCTCTATAATAGTTTGAAAAGAATTTAATTTTAATTTTAATTTTATTTTTACTTTAATAACATTAAAGAAAAATTGGTTGTAATAGTCAAAGTAATAGATATTGATTATTATTTTATTATTCGTTAATGATATTATATTCATTAGTTTATTATTAATGTTAATTAAAAGGGGATCAAAAGGGATCTGATTTGACACTATGCTTTATCTTTAATAATATTAAGGAAAGATATTAAAAATATTTTAGGGAAAGGAAGGAGTATTCATTATTATTTTATTATTCGTTAGTTAAATTATATACATTATTTCATTATTAAAAGGGAAATTAAAAATTGATTAAGATGATTTTAATTTGATTTTTTGTTTTATTTTTTTGTTTTTCTTTAATAACGTTAAAAAGAAAAGTTCTCAGTACTCGAACGAATATTCTTTATTATTTCATTATTCTTTATTTATATTCATTAGTTCATTATTAAAGGGAATTATAAAGTTATAAGTTGTGTTAGTTTAGAACGGACCGAACTTGATTTTATATTTTTTTATAATAACATTAAAAAATGTTCGTTATACTTGAAAAATCATGTTTTATATGCTACAAAATTCGTATTCTTTCTCTTTCTTCTTTTTTATATAATTATGAGATATCATGTAACGTGTGTTATATAAAATTTATTTTTTCGATGATATTGTATTAATTATATACGGCTTTTGTATTTTTCTTTCATTCATTTTACAAATGTTGTTTATTATTTCGAAAACAATTAATTTCGTTATTTGACCTTTGTAGGTTTCTTTTAATAATGATCTTTATAAATTAATAACTGTAAATTATAGGGTTTCATATAGAAGTGTCAATATCGTGATTTGTTACGTATATGAGTAAGAACAATAATTAATGATTAACCGGTAACAACAATGAGTAAGATTCTATCGCGTTAACGTGAATCAACGTTTCGTGTCAAGTCCTTTTTCCTTTTTAATAAAATATCTGATTATATAATAGATTATATGGTAGCATGAATGTCAGTAGTTGCTATGAGATAGTCGTGACAAGTGTAATAATGGACAAGCAAATGTTACTTCTACTAATTGGATTGTGTACACTTCGATCGGTATTAGGACAGGTAAAAATTTTTGTCTTGTTTTAATATAATTTACGAAAATATTCGAGAAAAAATTTTTAAACGAATATAAAAAAGTATATAAAATAATAAATATAAAAGTGAGAAAAATAGAATAAAGATATTTATATATATATATATTATATATAATTATTCTACGTTCATTAAAAATTTCATAAAGAATTTGTTTATTCTTCAAAAAATAAGGAAAAAATGAAAAATAATTTCTTTTGTTTGCAGTCCGATTTACAGATTATAATCGATAATATTGATTTAAAAATAAATGAGGAATACATTCAAAATTGTAAAATGGATCCTTGCGAGACCAGCGATATGGTACCCACATTAACTATCGACTGTCAATTTGTGAAGGAAATACCTGAAGAAGCTGTAGTAAGAGTGTTAAAATTATTGAAATTTATTAAATATCGTAGTAAAAAAATAGATCTATAATTTAAAAAAATATATAGGATAATAGCGGCTACGCAAAATTTTTATTAATGCTATTTACGTATATTTGAATATATAAAATGACAATCTCTTTCATTTAATTACATTTTTTAATATATGCTATTATTTAACATGTTTTAGTTACACATTGTCTTATATGGAATGAGTAATGGCGAGCCTACTGATCCAACTGGTGTTGATATAGAAATGAGTTCGTGCCAAATGATAAACGATACTATGATTATGGGTCCGATTATTAAGGCGATGAAGATGTCCTTAAAATGTCCAATACCACCGGTAAATCAATTTCTTTTTATTTTGGATCTTTTGAATCGATAATTTTTAATATGTTTATTAATGAATTGAAGTGATTAATCCAAGAATTATTATTAACCAATATTAATTTATTAATCATGACTTTTTTAATATTTCAGACAAATGTATTTCTAAAGTGTTTTTCTATACCGATGGACGAGTTTCCTGATTATTTTCCATCTGGAGAATACAATTTCAATCTTCTTCTCGATTATAAAGATGTTAATCTGTTTGCAATAGATCTGTATTTGACTTTTTATTGATATAACTTCTTATTATTTCTCACTACTATATATTTCGTCCGAATTTGTATCAATTGATAGTATTTTTTAAAAAAGTGATTAGTATATGTGAATATTTTGATCAATATAAACAATTAAGTGTCAGGGTTATGTCTGGATTATGCGTCACTTATATTACATATTGATATTTTGTTATAAACATTAACCATTTATTTAAAAATATTGATCAAATGTTTAAAAATACTAACACAATAAATAGCGGCTATTATTTCTGAATATTACTATATATTTCTGAATAATACTTTTCGCGATAATATAATAATATTAGTCTTTACTAATGTAACCCATAATCTTTCTATGATTCTAACATCTGTATGTAACTAGAATATAGAATTATACAAATTTTCAATTTTATTGCGTATTTGATTACAGGAATAGAAGAATAAAATTCATTCCACGATATGCGAATACTTACATACATATATTATATAAAATATATACCTACAATAATTAATTAGACTCGAATGTTAATTGATTTTCTTGGTATGCTTTTACCTGTTTTTTTTTTTCAACTTTCATTTCGATGTAATTTCGAAGTTCGTCAAATAAATAATTATAATCAATATATGAAAATGAGATGAGAGGGAGAAAATAATTAACATTTAAGGCTGTTCATCATTCCTGCTTTTATAATGGTTTACGTCATCAATGAGATTAGGGGTAATTTTTGATCGAATTTGATCAACAAGATTTCATTAAACAATTTAGTATCTCGTTTTAACAAATTTTTGAAAAAAAAATCGTTTTAAACGGTATAGAATAAACTAATATTTAAACTATAGTACATTAGCTAAAACATTATAAAGATCGTAAAGCGCGAGGAACTTAAAATAATTTTAATATAAACTTTCAATATTTAAAAATTTTAATCTAGGATTAGTTGCCTTGTGTGATATAAACATATCCGGTCTTTTAATTAACTTTTAAAATTATCGATTTAATTTTCTTTTGTATTCCGACGAGTGAAATTTAAAGTCTCTCTTTTTTTAAATGTCAAACTTTATAAAATAATACTTTCGATAATTTTTCAATTATTTAAATAATCTCTAATGTATACGGAGTACAATAAAATAATATTTAAATAATAGTACATTCACTTAATCATTAGAAAATTTGTAATTGTAATCGTATTAATTCTCATTTATTCTTTTACAAGTAAACAACGAAGATCTCTCAGAATGTTTTTGTTGCATATATCAATGAACATTTAAAGTAAGTATATTTTTATTACACGTTTTTTCCAATAATTTATACAGTTTCTTATTATAACATTAATAATAATAATAATTTCCTTTTTATTTTTCTGTTTCAGAACATCATTGCAATCGCCCGCGAAGCAGAAATTTACCGAGAGTGTTTGTGTCGTTAAATTTTAAATATCACGAAGTAGAAGCAGCGTTTGTTTGTTCGCGTTTTACGATTTAACTTCTTGTTCAAGTGTGTTAATTATAATCATTTGAAATTTTAAATATTTTAATACATTATTAAATATTTTTTATCTCGCGAAAATAGTAAAAAATAGTTATTTGTGATTTTTAATAAGGAATGAACAAAAAAAGACATTGTCTCTGGATTAGAATCGAAATTGTATAATTTGTTTTCTAATAATTGGAGTAATTGCTTATAAAAAGGATTTTTTTTTTAAATAAAAATTAATCAAATATTTAATCAATTTTATTGATAAAAGAAAAGTCTCGATAGGGTCATTGCTTTTGAATGAAAAAAGTCGAGTAAAATCATTGCTTTTGAAAGATAAAAATCATCTAGATTTATCATTGATAAAAGATAAAGAGACTTAAGTAGAATCACAGTTCGTAGGTCGTAGAATAAATCAATTAATTTTTAACATTTGATTTTCAACAATTAATATACCAATTCTCGTTTCTCATCCTATGCTTTCTCAATTTTTCTTTTTAGGATTGGATTAGAGTTTTGTTAGATTTATCAATTTTTACCCAGGTTTTGGATTAAGGAATATTTCTAATTCCTCGGAATCTTTCGAGAATGGCTCTTAGTTATATTTTAATTTTACGTGTACGAAGTGGTGTAAATATAAAAAATTGAGACAACATAATATTGTATTATTAAACTCGAGTAATAAATTTTTTGCATTTTCATTTCCAATGTTTCATTAAAATCATAATTTTATTTTAATAAAATTAAGTCTTTCGTTAAAGTCAAGTCACAATTCTTTCACTTTTTTCTCTTCTTTTTTCTTTTTTTTTTTTTAATTAAATTAAATAATTAAATTAAATTAAATTCATACTTTTATCTTTCATAACTAATATATTTCTTATTTCAATAAAATTAAATTCTAGTAAAATGATAATAATGAAACGTATGATACGGCAATTGTCTGGACAATTGAAACTGCATTGAATAAAGGTGCATATGGAATTGAAACGAGCGCACCATGATGTCAAATTCTTCCTTTGCCACGCGTCACGAGAGAAGTATATTAGTTTAGATTAGAATCGTGAATTTCTTGTTTTTTCCTTTCTCTTTTAAATTCAAAATTAAATTAAATCATTACTTAGGTTTTAACCCTTGAATGGACCTTCTTCTTTCAGTACGCAATAATCGAGAGCACGATTTTGTTACTCCGGTTTTGATCGGATGGAACGATATTCAATATATCCACGTTTATTTCTTCGGCTTTCTTTTCAGATTTCATATTTCTTCTCTTTCTCTTCTTCATATTTTCTTCATCTTTTTCAGAGATCATCGAAGGATGATCATTGAGGTATCATCGAGGCATCATCGCGTGATAGATTCATTATCGATTTTTATGCGATAATATGGGAAGGATAAAGAGAACATTTACGTGCGTGTAGGTTGGCATAATCCAACATTAATCACATTAATGGTGGACGAGATTAAAAGTTCTATCGGCGAACTTAATTTTATTTCCTCGAAGATTCATTTAGATTATCTTGCGAACGCGGATTTTAGAATAAAATCAACGTTAGCTCGTGGATCTTCAGATGCAGTAACCTCCACGTGGTGAGACCTGAGTCGATATTACTTGCGATATATTGAAATTTAATTGTAAATCATCCGACGCAAGTACTATCGGGCGAAAGGCTCCGTATCTCAATGTATTTTTAAAATTCCTTCAATTTAATTCCGTTCAAATACTGAAGTATTAACACTTTATCATTTTCAATAATACTTTTATAAACAAATAGATAAAATACAGTTAAATTCAAAGATAATTTTTTATAATTCGCAAAATATATTACATCATACTTGTTAATTATATTTACTATTTTTTATGATTTTATCGTGAAACAAATGTTTATCGACGTTTGCATGGATTACTTCGAGACGCATGTTACCATTAAAGAAAGATTTACATATGAAAGACTGAAAAGTGTGAGTCTACTAAATTACTTAAATCAGACGAAACCGATAATTATACATGTGTGATAGAGGAATAACAAATACAAGTTTATATATCGATATGATAGACGAATGGTGAGGACAGCGTTCTCCACTTGTATTAGTAATTTATATTTTGTCTATAGTTATCGCTGAAGTCAGAAATTTTTCGAACAAAAAATAATAAACAGCCTTAATCAAGAATCGAGAGCGACGAATCATGAAAGAATACGAGAATTTCTCGAGGCTTTCTAACGGCTACGGTTCTGCGGCGTCGCGGTTCCGCACGGACGTGGCCGTTTCCGTGACGGATAATTAAGGCAGAAGAATGACTGTGACATTTTTGTTAGCCCGTTTCCAGGTCCCGTCGGAAATGCTATTCATTCGCTTTGCACGTTTTTTCACGTCGCTAGAGAAGCTCGACTCGAACGCGTCTTATTGACGGACCGGAAGGCAGGAAAAACTCCATTTCCGGTACAGGCTAATGAAGGACGACGTTGTCTCGCTTATTCACGGCGAACAATTCTCGAGGAAAATGGGTTGGAGTTCATCCTCAGTCCATACCGTGATACGCCCAACTTTTTTTTTATTTTTGTTATTTTCTTTCACTCTTTTAAATGTTTTATTATTTTGCTCATGAAATTCTTTTGTCGATTCTTTTCTTTAAATAAAATAATTACAATTTAAAATATTTAATTAAATAACAATTATAATTATCGATATGTTAAATAACGATTATTTCTTATGTCTTTTTGTTATAATATTATCTTGTTGTTAATTTTACTCGAGAGTAATCGATCGATCAATGAGAAACCTTTTTAATAAAATGTAAAATAAAAACAGGAATTAATATTATTGATGAAGAGTGTAATGCTGTTTTCACTCTGATATATACATATATATATATATATATATATATATATTCTTTTTGCATTTAAATATAAATATTAAGGCTATAATATCGTTCGATTAGTTAACGTATCGAGTTAATTATCAGGCAAACGTAAAATATTTATAATATATATCGATTGCAGTATATTTATCAATTTATTGAAATTGATTAAAATAATGCAATTTGGATGCAATAACGAGATACAAATTTCAATAAAAAATATTCTTATTGAGCAATACGTATTTGTCTATTTTATAAGATGTATTTTGTTTTTATCTGTATGGTTCAACATTTTATTTATGTCTTTTTTAACTTACACTTAAACATTGGAATAAATATTTTTTGTCTTTACGTACGCGTGAAGCTATTGTTAAAGTAGACTGTCAACTAATGATCGGCGATCATTAAATTCAAAGGAATATATGAGCGTTTACATATTTGATTCCGATGATCAATGATTCGTCGGTGATTAGGATCGATTAGTATGCAACGTCAAGATCGAAGGTATTAAATGAAGATAAGATATAGAAACGAATTTTGGATTTTTTATAATTTTTGTTTTCTTCAAGTTACAGATAATTATGAGTAAAAAGAACAGTCAAGTTAACACTTTACGAGATAATATATTTTTTTAACTACTCTGATAGAATGGCTATTAATTAAGCTGACGAAACGTAGGGACAATCAACCGTAACGACTCATTGCGATGTTATCCATGATGAGCCACGAGCAAGGGGCAATTAGAGAAAATCAATGTCGAAAAGCGGATTTGCATGTTGCACTTAATATTTGTGATCGAGTAGAATTCAATTCGTGTTTTAACGATGCGACTAATAGACTATCTCTTTTTCTCTTTCGATTTTTCTTCTATCCAATTACATTATCGTAAATATTATAAATAGATAGATATATATATATATATATATATATTTATGTATATTCCAACATGTAATATACATATGAAATACTACATTTTTATTTGAAATAGTACAAATAACGTTTTCACGAATTTGATGTTTTATGATGGAAGAGAATTTCATAGGGAGTTTCAAAATGTTAGAGAGGGAAATAGTATGTATAAATTAATTTAAAATTATTTAACATGAAAACTTTATGGAAATATTTGTATCTGGTCGTTAGAGGTTCGTTAGATTATTACATGGTACCAACTATCAATGTTACAATCTTGAAAGATACCAAATTTTACATAATAATTTACAAAATCCAATATAATTGAAATATTTATTTAAAACCCGAAATTTTTAATACAATAAATTAGATTTAATTTGATCATTGGTTATTGAGTAATTATTAAATTTTGGTTTCCATAATCTACTTTATAAGACAATGTTCAAATCTTTTCTTTTTATCTTGAATGTAACAGAATAAATATTTTAAATGTACAAGCATTTTTATTACCACGATACATCGTTCAAGGTTCACTAAAAAAAGTTCGTAAGATATATGAAAGAACGTTCTTATTTAAGCTATTTCGATAAGAACATTGTAGAGATAAAGTATCTTCCTGACATGAAGAACAGTCAGTATTTCTCTGGATATCGTTAACAATTTGTAGAATTAATTCACGAGTAATTTAAATTATATTGATTTAATAATAAATTATATTGAATTAATAATTTTTCTTATTCACTCGTTCTCTTCTTTTTTTTTTTCACTACTACAATTTATTAATACAAACGAAAATATGATGTCTCTTACTATAACAGAAGTAATATGCTTTATAATTGCGAGGTTATTATTATTGTATTACTATCTTACACGGACATTTGATTATTGGAAAATCCGCGGTGTAAAAGGACCAAAGCCTATATTAATATTTGGCAATGTAATAGATGTAATGCGAGCTAAAATATCTATATCAATTTTTCTTAAGAATATGTACGATAAATATAAAGACGAACGAATGGTTGGTATATTTGAAAAGGATCTACCATCATTAATTCTACGCGATCCTGATCTGATCAAAGACGTGCTCATTAAGGATTTCTCTGTGTTTCCTGAACGACCGATGTTTTCTAATGAAAAGGTGAGTCAATCTATTAATTTTGCATTTTGTTCGTACAGATATTCAGCAATATAACTGTTATATATAAACGTTAAAATATTACATTTCTTTTAAGCATTTGACGATTATTGTACCTATAGAAATTATAGAAAAAGAAATTTCGATAAAGATATGATAGTAATAATAATAAATTTAATTATATCAATAATAACGACAGTGTGTGCTGAGTTTAAGTTATAGATTGGAATTAAATCTTTCTATGCACAACTTTTTAAGATTTTGTTTTTGTATAAGGAAAAAGAATTATATATTATTACATTAATAATATGTTAATTTAACAATGGAAAAAAAATTTTTTATTGTAATTTTATGACAAATATATATTTTGTTTGCAAACTGTAATGTATATATACGTAAATACAAAGTGTTAAAAATATAATATAAAAAATGTTTTAAATTGGCATTTGGATCGTCGCTCACATATCTGTACGTACAATATATTGTGTGATTTGAAAAAAGTATTAGACTGGAATATGATTTTCGTTTTCTTTTTCAGCATGAACCCCTATCGGAGAATCTATTCAGGGTTAAAGCATCTAAATGGCGACCATTAAGAACAAAGTTGACATCTATCTTTACATCCGGCAGATTGAAGAACATGTTTCACTTGTTAATCGAATGTTCTGAACGTTTCGAGAGGTGTATGATGCATATTGCAGAGAAAAACGAGCCAATAGATTGTCGAGATCTTACAGCTAGATATACTACTGATGTTATTGGTTCTTGTGCTTTTGGTATTGATATTAACGCCATCAATGATGAGACAAATGAATTTCGTCGAATGGGAAAAAAGATCTTTCGAAATGATTATAAAACTTATGCCAAGGAATTAGTTCGAAAAACGCCATGGCTTTACAATATTATTGGTCGATTATTTGTTGATAAAGACGTTGAAAAATTTTTTATAAAAATTACAATGGATATGATACATTATAGAAAAATAAACAACATTCGTAGGCATGATTTCATAGATATTTTGATGGATCTAAAGGATCAGGAAAAACTCGCTGATTTTGGTAAGATTTTTCAATATTTATTCTTTTTTTTTTTATACATATATATTGTATTTCATTGAAATTCAAATACGTATATATACTCGAAAATATATTGAAAATTTACTGAAAATAATACTGAAATATTTTATTATTATTTATAGAACTGACCGATACTCTTATTACTGCGCAAGCATTCGTATTCTTTGCTGCTGGATTCGAAACGTCTTCGACTACATTAAGTAATGCCATGTATGAGTTGGCAATGAATCACACAATTCAAACGAAACTTCGACAAGAGATTAAAGAAGTTCTCGAATTGACTGATGGAAAAATTACTTATGATTGTTTAAAGTATATGAAATATTTGGATGCTGTTTTTCAAGGTACATACATACACGTAAAATTATTATTATGATGAATGATAAGAGGAAAAAAGAAGATTTTTTTTTTCATTTTTATTAAAATCAACTTTATTGAAGTAAAGAACGAATCATTATTAATTAATGATAATTTTCCATTAATATGATATTATCATTATGAATATTATCATTAATATGAGTTACCATATATATTCTTTTACGAATTTTTATATATATATATTCTTATGAGAAAAGGAATCATTATTTGTTTAAACAATAATAATTCATATTAATTAATTATTTCTACAGCAGTCTCGTTAATTTTTAAAAAATTTTCTTTTAAATACAATGTTTTTATTAATAATTATTTAACACAGAAACTCTACGGAAATATCCACCGGTGATGTATCTCGTTAGAGGATCATTAACGAATTACACGTTTAATGGTACTAACGTTACGATATCGAAAGGTACAAAAGTTTTCATACCGATTTACGCAATCCAACATGATCCAAGCATTTATTCAGATCCCGAAGTTTTCGATCCTAACAGATTTACGCCTGAAGTTATAAAATTGAGACATCCTATGTATTTCCTACCATTCGGAGATGGCCCTAGGAATTGTGTCGGTAAGAAAAAATCACATTGATTTTTGTTAATAATTGAAACAATGAATAAATATATGTGTGCGTGTATATATATATATATATATATATATATATATATATATATATATATATATAACATCTTTTTACAGGTTTACGATTTGCATATCTTCAAACAAAGATAGGCCTTATCAAAATTCTTAACAATTATTTAATTGACGTTTGTGAGAAAACACCAACACCACCGTATCCTTTGAATATGCAGGATGTCGTAATGCTACAACCGACGTGTGGAATATACGTAAAGCTATCACCTATTACCGCTTCCTGATGCATTATGCACGAAATTATACCGTCATTTGTGATTAATAATACTCTTATACTCTTATCGTTAACGTCGTATTAAATTCGAAATTATCACTATGCAGGAGATTACGTTGGTATTCATAATTATCACCATATATGATAATAATCGTTCTTAATTGTCATAATCTCCTTTCCTTATAAATTTATTGATGATAATTTATTTAATACATAATCGAAATATGCGGAAATAGTTTCATCTTTAAAAACATACAAATTTCTATTACGTAAACGATTTGCGAAATGTAACAACAGAATATATATTCTTGGAAGTAAAAGTATTTCTAGAAAGCAATTTGCTTTTATTTACCTTATATTTGAACATAATTTTATTTGGAATTAGGTAGTTGAAGGTAAATTGAAAAAGTCTATGTTGTATGTTAGTGGAATTGGTAAGAACGAAAGGTGACTTTTTTTTTTAACATTTATTCGAATAATCGATCGTTTTGTAAGATGGTCAAGAAGAGAATTTGTTCGTCTGGATCGAAGAAGGTGGCCATGGCTGAGTGGTGATGTTGCGTGACTGTGCGTTTGTATTTGTGCGGGTTTCGATGGCCGGCCGAGGTAGAGTAAAAGTGATCGGACGAATACTTTGAGCGACCGTCGGAGGGCGACGGAGTCGCACGAATCGTGCCGAGCTGAGCCGAAAGCTTGGTGGCCCCTGTCAGTAGGCCTGCCGCAACGCAGCAGAGAGCGCGCCTTCCGTCTTGCGCAGGGGTCTAACGCTTTTCGAATCTCTTTCTTCACTCAAGTTTCATATTTATTATCCGATAAATTTGTTATAAAATATTTCGTAAAAAGTGTACAATTTTACAAATTGAAAAGTCAATTTTTATGCATTTACGTGAACGAAGAAGGGGACGAATAAATTAATCGAACAAAGATAGAAAATATTTGTTTTATTTATAAACGTCTTCCGAACAATGTTCATTTCTTTAAAAATGACGAATATTATTATTGCGTATAAAAGAACGAATGATTAAAATTTCGTCGATCTCATCGCATTGTGAAAATTAAGTATCGCAAGTGTATATGTTTAATTCTATGAATAATTTAAACAATTTCTTCCTGTAATTAAAATCGAGAAATTAGTGATTGAAAGATTGAAACGATTTGGAAGGATGAAAAGAAAATTATAATAATTGTGAAATAAAAAAGAAAGATTGAAGAAACGTGAAGAAGAGGTGTCAAGAAGATATCTTTGTAGGAACGTGCGTGGGGTGGCATCGATGTCGCGATAAAAATTATATACGAAGATATACGAGTATTCAGATATGACGTTGTCTCGTTGGCAATCGAAGTGTTGCAGGAGTATCCATTGGTTTTCGATTTTTACAGGTCGCTCGTAAGTCGGCCCATTACGTCATTATCGCTCGACGATGACGGGAACTCGTTGGTGCGTATGATAAGTTTACCGATGTATATAAAGGGTCGTCGGTCGTTCAAGCGTGCACGGATATACTATATAAGGAGTAGGATCGTTCGATCGAGTAAGTCCATTAATGTCGCGGCAACGACAGATACGTCGAAGCATAAATAGACAGGCTGCTGCTGTCTCTTGGTGAAAATGAACGATCGCTCGAGTGAGGAAGAGAAGAAAAGGGAGGACGACGACATCATCGTGAGAAAGAGAGAGAGAAAGATAGTAGTTGTATTCCTTTCTTCGTTCCATGAATGAAGAAGAAAAATCTTATCGAGATCTACGACAGTTAATCAACGTCGATTACGTGAACTTATATTAAATTGAATAAAGCTTCGGATTGGTACGTGTCTATTATGTGTTTTACGTGTGTGCGTTAGTTTAAGTGATAAGGAAGTAGGAAGAGGAAGGATCTGAATTTCGGATTATCGGAAGACCTGACTCATTGAAACTCGACTTAGTAGGTACTTCAGAGAAGTTATACGTTCGTGGAACGTTAAAGAGGCCGATATTTGAACGAGAACGGAAGACGGACGGATTGATAGAGATAGAGATAGATTCGTCTATCCAGTTATAGCGACGCAGGATGTTCAAGAGAATGCTTTTGCTGATGAGCGTTTTCGCTCGGTTTGCCGTAGCGGAAGTTGTCCTCGGCGATGTCGACGAACCTAGTAAGTCCTTTAAATTACATACAAGGGTTCTATCCTCGTTCTCTTAAAAACGTACTTAGGTGAATTAAAAAATATACATATATCTACGTATATATAGGTATTGTACGTACAAAACGTATTTTTACGTTGTCATTAAGTTTTTGATATGTCGACAACTTTTCGACGGACGATTTCAAACTTTCTTGAAACGACTTCAAACTTAAATGATTATTTTAACTTTCGATCGAAACTTTTGAACTTCTCTTTACATTTTTCGCCAATGAAATCTTCTTATGTATTCTCGACACTTTAAGTTCGACGTTGTTTAAATTTGATATTAAGAACTAAATAAAAATGTTTTGGAAGATAACGAAATAATGAAATTTTTCAGAAATAATCATCAAAAGCTTTTAATCTTATTAGACACATCTTTTTTATATCGAGAAAAATCAGTGAACAATATTTTCGCAAGGATGACATCCAAACGGATTAAAACGTACTGTCGTTTCTCATCGCTGACATTCAATTTTGTGGATTTTCCAACACGATTAGTTTCGAAATAATTCAACCAACAATCCCAAACCATTTCTAGGACATCGTGCGAGTTCGCATAAATCGTGTTAATTGACTTGGCTAATCATGCTTCTCACAATTCATATATATATATATATATATATATATATATACATGTACATATATACATGTACATATATATTTTTATATATATGTGTACACATACATATACACATGAACATGTATATATATATATATATATATAGATCTTAAACTTTTATGTTTAATCTTGTCTATAATATTTCAACTTTTCCAATGATTCTTTATATAGAGCGAAAGATGCAACTAGACGATAAATATCGTAACGATAAACGATATAATCTCGAGATATTATCGATCGTAGTTACGGTTTAACGTTTTCGAGGATTTTTTCGCGTTGTGATACGTCGCTTGGCAGCGTTTTTACGCGTCGCTCGTTGCTTCTCTCGATGTGAAATAAAAAAAAAAAAAAGGAAATGGAGAAGAGCGTGCGTACTTGCAAAAGAGAAAAAAGGGAAAGAGATAGACAAAGAGAGAGAGAGAGAGAGAGAGAGAGAGAGAGAGAGAGAGAACGTTTATCTAAAAACACGTGTAAAATAGAACGAGCTCGGATTAACAGAAGCTCGCACATTTATCGTTGGTAAAGGCAAAAATCGTGCTTTTCGTGTTATATTTTGTTTCTGCTTTTTAAGGATGGGATAGTGTCGAAGAACAAGTAAATTCATGCTCGTTAATGTAATGTAAGGCATTCTTTTCTATGTACACTTACGATTCGCGTGAATCAACGTGATCAATTTTTCTCGTTGGAAAAGACTTCTTTTGTTGTTTCTTTCTTTCTTTTTTTTTTTTTTTTATTTTCCTAGAATTTAGTTAAAATTTTTTCACACAAAAACATTTTCGGCAAATTGGTGTAACGATTAGGAATATTAGTTTGTATGCATATTTCCAATAATTCATGTCTTAGACTTAATTTAACATTTATTCGTAAATCATTGAATGTTTCAGTTAATCAGATCAATGTGACGTTTCTTGTTAAAGTCTTCTCGGAATAAATTTAGAATATAAGTTGTTAGATAGAAAATTTGGTTGATCTTCTAGTTTTTTTCTTTTTCTTTTTTTTTTTTTTATATTTCGTAGCAAAACGTTTTATTGTATTTTCAACTGATTCCATCTCGAGATCTTTCCTGAGATTTTTTCATTTCTAATGTACAACGAAACATTAATTACCGTGCACAAGATTATTGATTGTAAAAGTTTCATTTTTTAAAAGTTGTTCATGGCTGCTGTACACCAGAATTCAATTCCATAGATCCAGATAAGTTTAATAATAGTTTTGTACAGTAGGAGTTTATTGATTGAGTTCAGTTTTTAGTTTCTTCCTGTATTAAGTTCTTTCTTTATTATTATTTTTTTTTTAATCTACTTCATCTTTTCTTTTGGGTGTAATGTTTCTTTTGAGTATAATGTTAATTTATTATCTAGATACATGCCTAAGTGTTTTACAACTATAGCTTGGAGAGTATGATTTTTTTTTTTTTTTTATTTAGAAATACAGGAGTAGATGTTTGTTTCTTTAATGTTAAGGTAATGTGTACGGATTTTGTCTCGTTCACTTTTATTATTCATTTTAAATAATCAAGTTTTCTAAAGTAAGTGCAGAAACTGAGAATTGGTGTTAGCATCATCGTGCATTACAAAAAACAGTAGTGTCATCAAAACATTGAAAAACTGATGATAATTGAAAAAGAAGTATCCCGTGAAATGATTATATCAGCAATGTAAAAGTTATAAAGTATACGTCCTAAGATACTATCTTGTGGAATACTAGAATTTATTGAATATTGATTGGAATAATTGTCTTCAACTTTGACTATAAATTTTCTATTTGATAGGTAAGATTTAATGAGATAAGTGTTGGAAAATTGTTTACTGTTTCAAAGTGTAAGACTTCGTTAAAAGATTTCTCAATATTTAGAAATACGGCTGAATAATATAATTTTTCCTTTTTTTTTTTTTTTTTTTTTTCAAAGCAGATAATGATGGTATTGAAAATTTTATACACTTGTTGGATCGTAGAATGTTTATTACGAAATCGAAATTGATAGTCGGGTATGAACATTTTTGACGAGATAATTAATATCAATTTTCTGAGTATTATTCTCTCTGAATTTTATTTTTGACCTGATTGCTAGCTGTGAAATTGGCTTATATGAAGTCAGTTAGGATAAATCTTTTTGATAACATTATTATTTGCATTATCTTTTATTAATTCGTAAAAAAATTTTAATCGCAGTACTACATCGAAGATGATTGTAATCAGCTTTTATAGCTTTAAGAATTCTTTTATAATTTTTCCAATGATCAGATGTCAATGTCTGGTGTTCTCTTTAATTGTAAGTTCGATACGATTCTTTTTTACATCTTTAAGCGTAAGCTCTGAGCTCATATTCCGTCTATTGAGTTTAAAGTGTCTTTTGCTGAATAGGAATGAAAAACTTTAAATAAGTGTTTTGTAAACGCAATTGCTTTTTTATCGTCGCATTTGGCTCGCTTATCATTTACTTTTCTAATCGGACTAAAAGCTATTGGACGTTTCAATGTTTTTATCGTCTTTCAAAATGAATAATTAACATCGCTCGGCGGAAACAAATTAGAGATGTAATTGTAGAAATTGTGATTATTAAATCCTTGCATTGTTTCTTGTATATCCTCTGCTTGTTACGTTAATCAGTTTTTTGTTATACCGAGTTTTTTTTTGTTTGTGGTAGTTGTTCCCGATTTTTTTTTTGTATTATACATATAGCTAGAATTTTTTTGTATTATACATTTTGTATTATACATTCTATGGATCTATAGAATTGTTTAAATTATTTTATGGTGTAATTTTTGAGGCTGCGTTGTAAATAATTTCATAAAGATCATTAATAGCAGTTTATATTTGATTAGGAGTCTTTAAGGATATATTGCAATTCAGAAGTATGCTATTTCACTGTATTAATAAATCTCAATCGGTGCTATTATTGTAAATTGAAAATACGTCGTACGTGAGTATCGACCTTTGTTTATCTTCTATTATAACAAGAGAGTGATCGGAGTTTAGATACAGAGAAGATTTAGCGATCGAATGTTTATTGTTATTTATGCCTAGTCAAGAAGGAAAGTTATAAAGGTCGAGCGTCTTTTCATTAGCTTGGAGTCAGTCGTAGGTAGGAGCCCGTCGAGATAACATCGAGAGAAAGTTAGCGTATCGTCTGTACACAGGTATTTGCTTCTGAAATTTGTAACTTTTACTAATTTCTCGCATTAAAATAGAAAAAAATTCTTCGCTTAAAAATCGCTTATTAATAATGAAGGATCAAAGAAAGAAGAAAAAAATTCATCTATCGTTCTTTACTTATTTTAAATTTCGATGGATCATAAATTATTGCAATAGTAATTGAGCCGATAAAATATATCGTTCATGATGCGAAAAATTTTAATTTCATATATAATATATCTTTAGTTAGGTCAGCTTTTAATTGCTATTCCAGACCGTGAAAATTAATTTATGATCCATTATGGTTTTTATTTAACATGAGTTTTGCAAGGAACTTTCGCATTGTATTGTTTTGATAAATTCATTTGCTCGTTATGAATGTTTATAAAAATTTCCAATTTTTCGACAGATAGAACGAATAATATTTTGGATTTTACAAGTATCCGAGATAGTGTTAATTCCAGCGTGATCAATGAAATTATTTATCGGCAATGAATTTACTCTTGCATGAATATTACCGCTAATAGTACGTCGATATGATTTTGTAATGACTTGGCCATCAAATTGAGCGATAACCTTTGTAATGGAAGGATCTGTATTTGGGTGAGTATGGAGCGACTTGTGTCAAAGCGGAGAGAATAGTTTCTGCCGTAATTGTTTTCTAATATTACATATAACTCATGTAACTAATAGGATGATTATTTTAACAGTTAAAATATTTGATATTATCACTGTAAAATTTTCTTGAACAACTAGAGATAACATGATATCCGACATACTTGACGTAAACCGATGTTTCATTAATTTTTAATACGATCAAAAGATTGACATCTTAGTGCATTGAGAAATATCTCTTTTCGATATGGTTAATTGAAAAGAAATAATTGTGTTTAGTAACCAAATTATAGATATCTTTGTTATTCCCTTATGATTCGAGTTCGATAATAAAATGTAGAAAAGATTTTTCTTATAGTTCAATCGTAAAATTCGATCGAAAAATCATTGAGTTTTAATGTCATTCATAATAATTTTTGAATGATTGCATTTATGAATTACTTTATAGCCTTTATCTTTTTTAGATTGATATGCATAATAATTGATGTTATTTTCGTTTAGAGCTTTGATAACATTCCTATAACCTAACAATGTATTAATATGAATTTTAGCTTGATTATTACGTAGTTGTTTATATAATAGTGTATTCATTGAAAAC